CCCTGGCCCCCCCAGGAACTTCATGTCTGGTTTCCTTGACTCTGAGTCTTTGTGCGGACTGAAAACCTGGGGAGAAACAGAAAATCTTTGGGTATTTTGTTTCTATAAGAGGTATTTGATTTTTCTGCACCTGCATCTTCTTTCTTTTTAAAAGATTTTATGTATTTATTTTTAGAGAGAGGGGAAGGGAGGGAGAAAGAGAGAGAAACATCAATGTGTGGTTGCCTCTCATGTGCGGCCCCTGCTAGGTACCTGATTTGCAACCCAGGCATGTGCCCTGACTGGGAATTGAAAGGGTGTCTCTTTGGTTCTCAGGTTGGCACTCAATCCACTGAGCCACACCAGCCAAGGCTGCATTTTCTTTCACAATGTTTCAAAAGGATTTTTCCTTTTAAAGGAGTTTAACACTTTATCCAAATGAACTTAATACGACCACCTTATGAAAAAGTCGAACTACTCAGGATCTATGTAATCATTTTGTATGTACAGAGAATGCATGGTAAAAACTGAAACAGGGAAGAATAAATAGCCTGGATGGCTTTCATGTCCCAATCTTTTTGTTCATCATGGAAATGTTTTATCTTTAAAGGCATCCCCAACACAGCTCTACTGTGACACCATAAAACTTACATTCCAAAGCAAATGGAATTTCAAAGAACCAAGGCACAAGTATGACATTCCTTCAGCCCTGTTCCCTCCATCCTTGGGATCTCCACCAAGCTGTGTCTCTGCTGCAGGCCTCACCCCAGGCCTCATCAGGTCCTGCTTAATACCGCTGTTTCCACACTGCAGACTGTAGAGGTGGCCTTGAGGGTGGGGGTAGGGAGGGCTCTAGCACAGGCGCACCTATGGGTCTTCATTTCCGTCCCCCCACCCCCCAGCAATAGTCAGTGACATGGGCTCAACACGTCTAAATGCTTAGCTTGCTAAAGAGAGTTGGAAGGATGCTGAGCACAGCGCCTCCATATTGTGGCATGTATACATACCCTGCTTCACGTAAGGGCAGTGGAGCTGAAGCTATGTGGTATGTGTTTGCTGGGTGCCATTACATTCCCCAAAGCCCTGAGTTTGGTATTCATTCATTATGTTCACCCTCTTCCCCAGTGAACTTGGCCACTAATACATCCAGTCACCTTTGTCATAAGGCAAGAATATATGGATAAAGGCCTGGCTGGTAGTTCAGTTCGTTGGAGTATAGTCCTGATACAGCAAGGTTGCATGTTCGATCTCTAGCCAGGGCACATATGGGAAGCAACCAATGAATGCATGAATAAGTGAAACAAATAGATGTTTTTCTCTCTCTCAAATCAATAAATTCAAAAATTTTTTAAAAAGAGTACTTGAATGGACAGAAGCAATGTAATTAAACACAAAAAATCCTAAAAATGGCCCTGACTGGTGTGGCTCAGTGGGTTGGTCATCATCCCACAAACCAAAAGGTTCCAGGTTTGGTTCCAGGCCAGGGCACATGCCTGAGTTGCGGGCCAGGTCCCCAATTGGGAGAGGCAATCAATCGATGCTTCTCTCCCTCTCTTTCTCCTTCCTCTCTCTCTAAAAATAGATAAAATCTTTTTAAAAAATCCTAAAAATGTTTATAGTTATTAGTAACATCATCTTTATATCTGAAAAATGAATATATATGAAACAAATCTAGAGTTTATACTCAACATATACCATATTCGGTGAGACCGACCTAATTTTTTAGGTCACATCTATTTCTTATAGAAAATTTCTACTTTAAAATGTTAAGTATTAAAAATTTAAGAATATGTTAGTATTAACTTGTATATGCATAAAGACATTCTGGAAAGACACACATAATTTATCTAGATTATTTATTTTTAAATGGTGAATTCTGGCAGGGCAGATAAGGGCAATGTTAATTGCCCTGCCAGAATTCACAATGTTAAGAGGGAGAATGGGGGTGGGGGATCCCCTGGAAAACATTTGAGTTTTATAACCCATGGAACATTGACTTCAGTTTCTGCTTATGCACCTGACCAGAGCAGGCCTTCAACACAGCATGTGAAAGGAGCGCCACAGAGGGACAAGCGACACAACCACTCTGAAGCAGAACAGCCTCTCTGCTCAGAGGTCATCTGAAGGACCCAGAGAGATGGGGACACCCATCAGCCATCATTCATCTCCCCAAAGACTTTTCTGACTCCTATTTTAAAACCACAGAACAGAATTACATAATATAAGGATTCATCAAAATCAAGCCCTAAATAAATAGCTGATATAAAGTGAGCCTTGGATTTCTGCTTGCAAGGTAGACTAACTTATGGTGCACCAAACCCCTTGTAAGGACAATCAGAAAAAAAACAAACAAAAATATTTTCATCTCATTTAAAGGCACCAGAGAACTACCATAGCAATGAGGTCTTAAGGGGCCAAAACATAAGAGAAAAGGGGAAGACAGAGATGTAAGTCCAATATTTAGTCCCCCTTTTCTCCTTGGGTTTATCAAGTGATACCTCAGAGGCTGAGAATGTGGAAGTTCTCAGAATTCTTTTTTTTTTTAAGATGTTACGTATTTATTTTTAGAGAGAGGGGAAGGGAGGGAGAAAGACAGGGAGAGAAACATCAAAGTGCAAGAAATACATCGATTGATTGCCCCTTACACACCCCCAATTGGGGACCTGGCCTGCAACCCGGGCATGTGCCCTGACTGGGAACTGAACCAGTGACCTTTCAGTTCCCAGGCTGGCACTCAACCCACTGAGCCACACCAGCCAGGGCCTCCCCAGAATTCTTAAGTGAGTGGTCTGAGTACACAGAGAGGTGGGCCCTGGTGCAGACCTCAGTCTTCCAGCTGGGAGCCCAATGGGCTGCTAGATGGGAGAAGCAATGAATCTGAAATAGACCATCCTTCTCAGCATCCAACCAGAGTGGTTCCTGATTGAAGGAAAGTGATGTGTTTTCTAATAGAAGGAAAAAAAAGGTCAAATACTTAAAATGAGCTTTAAATATTTCATATATAAGTACAATGTCTGATATTTAATAAAAAATCGCCCATCATACCAAGAGACAGGATCATATGACTAAGAAACAAGAGAAAGAACAGAATCAGAACCACAAAATACTCCAATTTTGAAATGATATGACATTAAAATATGTGATTAACATGTTCAATAAGCTAAAAGACAAGCCAAAGATTTTGAGCAGAGAACTAGAAGTTAAAAAAGAAAAACAGAATCAACCCTGGCCAGGTGGCTCAGTTGGTTAGAGCATCATCCTGTATACCACAAGGCTACAAGTTCGATTCTGGGTCAGGGCTCATACTTAGGCTGAGGGTTCGATTATTGGTAGGGGCGTGTACAGGAGGCAAGTGATCGATTGATGCTGCTCTCTCACAGTGATTTTCTTCTCTCTTGGAGGATTTCTTGACCCCTTCTTTTCTCTATCTATATTCACTCACTGGGGATCTCAACAAGGCTCATGGCTCTAAACAGCATCAATATACTGATTGCTTGAGAGACCAAAGCAGAAGCTATAGTGGATTTTTAAAAATTTAATCTTTGTTGTATTTTTTCCCCATTTGCAGTAGATTTTTAAACCCAATTTCAGAAACACCAAACCTCTCTGAGCTCATCACCATTACTCTCCCCATACTGCCTATGCTCCAGCCTTGCTGCCTTTCTTGCTTTTGAGATCTGGCTTTTCCCTCTGAATGGTATCATCCTCCACCAGGCACATAGTTTGTGCTTTCACCTTCCTTAGGATTTGCTTGAAAGTCACCCTCTTGATTGAGACCCTGTCTGGCTTTTTCTCTTAAAATGGCAACCCTCCCTTTGTCCCTACTGGCCAGATGGTACTTTACCGTACATAGTATTTGTCACCATCTGAAACACTGTAGTTCACTTATTTTTTCATCTTGTACCTCCTCCTGTTAAAATGTAAACCCCATGAATGGAGGAATTTTTGCCTGTTTCGTTCACTGCCGAATCTCCAGCTCCTGGAAGAGTATCTGGCATGAAGAGGGTACACAATGAATCTGTACTTCTGTCAATTCTCTGTTTAAAGGGGCAGCTATATTTGGGCAACACAACACACATACCTTTTCTTGTCTGCTCAGACACAGGTTTTCGAAGATCCAGTAAGAAACCCAGGAGTTACACAAGAGTGAGAATCAGTCTACCTCAAGATGCCAACCCTTCATCTATGTCCAACATAAGGAGGGCTAACACACGAATAAATGAGCTCCTGAGAGAAGTTTTATGTGTGCATATAATTTGTATTCACCAAGTGGATCTCAAAAGTACTAGACATCCCAAAGTGAATTTTCTTTTTTTCCCCCTTTATACTAAGTATTTACTGTATTTTTTGGACCATAAGACACACCTAGGTTTTAGAAGAAAATAAGGGAAAAATTTTGAAGTAAAAAAATGTGGTAAAATATTTAGTAACATAAACAACATAATATTTCACCAATGTAAATGTAAACAGGACTCAACAGCAGCATTAACAACCATTATTCCTCCCAAATGGGGCGGGGGGTGCATCTTATAGTCCAAAAATACAGTATTTGTCGGTTGCTGCCAGTGTATGTAAAATAATCATCCTTGTGAAATAGAAATTCATGAAAATTCTGAGAGGCAGATGTTAAGGAATGACAAAAGCAGAAGTCTAAAGTATGGCACATGTTACAGGGATAAGCTTTTTGTACAGGCTTTCAAATTTAGCTCTCTTCAAATATTCACTGGTTCATAAAAAGTGGTTTCAAAACACCTTCAAAAATTCACTTCACTAGCCCCTGGCTGGTGTGGCTCAGTGGATTGAGTACAGGCTTGTTAACCAAAGGATCAATGGTTCGATTCTTGGTCAGGGCACGTGCCTCGGTTACAGGCTGTGTCCTCAGCAGGGGGCACATGAGAGGCAACCACACACTGACGTGCTCCCCCTCTTCCTTCCTTCCTTCGTTCCTTCCTTCCCCCTCTCTAAAAATATATACATACATACATACATACATACATTTTTTAAAAGAAAGATTCACTTCACTACAAAAAGGAGCCTACTTTCTGGGGTCTAAAGGGATTGGTACTTGGATATACTGCAGTCAGCAGGGGGTCATATTGAGCATTCTGCAGACAGAATTGTTTCAAACCTGCAGCCTTCTGGGAAATCTTCACATAGTTGAGGCCCGTCTCCAGCTGGAGCTGTTGAACCACTTTCTTTATAGTGGTAACACTGGAGGAACCAGGCAGAAGGTACACGCAAAAGCTGGGCTGATTTGTTGGTAGTGGGTCTGAAGAGCCAAACAGTGGGGCAGCAAAGTCATGGGCAGGGCTCAGAACTCCCGAAGTTAATTTTCATTAAAAAGAAAGAGTCCTCTCACAATGCTACCACCTCCATATCACATAGTTATGGCAGTCACGCTAGTCCTCCCCTAAATATCTGAGCTCCCTATCTCCTTTGCTTTCACTGAATTCTTCTCAAAGACTCATTCTCTTCCTTTTGTGTTCAAAAGATAAGTTTTGCAAACTAGGCCCAACTCGGTAATCATAGAAACAGAGAGCAGTCTTTCTTCTACATACATGCAGGACTTCTTAGAAAACTAATGAAAAATGCTGCCCTACTGAGGGATGGGCAGGGAGCATGATACTACAAATAGAAATTTTCTGAGGGATGTTTAGGGGGAGTTAGACCCCCAGGGTCCTGTCCTCACCCACATCCAGGATAATCACATAATTCTCTATCACACACCCTTGTAGGACACACAGGACAAAGTCTCAATAAAAATGAAACTGAAAGGCTCCTGATTTGGGAAAATCAGGTGCAGGGAAAGATACAGGGATTTGGACTAAAAACTGATGAATCACGTGAAAAGTCTGTATTCTCAACTGGGAAACCCAACTCCTTCATCTATTCAGCTCCAGAATGTAACAGCCAGTCCCACAAGAAGGGGACTAAAGTTTCCCTCTCAGGGGAGAGCAAATCACCCCTGACAAAAGACCTAAAGATACTGAAATCTGGGGAACCCCCACCCAAGCAAAAAGCCAGCTGGCAGCCTAAACACACCAAGCACACCAATCAAAATGGCCTCACACACAGCTTTCAACCAGCATCTCCAGTGCCTCACATTTAAACAAAAACAGACAGCCAGGATCATCATTTGGATAAAACTTTGAGCAAGCAAGACAGAATCCAAATCCATAACAAAGAAATTCAGAGGACCCAAACATCTTACTAAGCAGAAAGCAGGACAACAATTAACAAAATATAATTAACCTCTCCCAAAAGATTTTAAAATATTAATCCATGAACAAAAAATAAATTTTTAAGAGTGTATATTCAGAAAACAAGGGCATGGACATTTAATAGATCTGAAATCACAATTTTAGAAAATGGAAAATAGGATAATATGATTTAAAATTTGAAGGCTCATTTCAGATGGTCTGACATCTAAACAATAGAAGCTCTAAAATGAGAAAACAGAAAACATGAAGTTATCAAAGAAATAACATTTAATAGCCCTGACCACTGCGGTTCAGGCTGAACACCATCCTGCAAAGCAAAAGGTGGTTGGTTCAATTCCCGGTCAGGGCACATGCCTAGATTGAGGGTTTGGATCCCAGTTGGGGCCCATATGAGAGGCAGCAGATTGATGTTTCCCTCTCACAGTGATATTTCTCTCCCTCTCTTTCTCCCTACCTTTCCCTCTCTCTAAAAATAAATATTTTTTTAAAAAAGAAAGAACATTTAACAAATTCCCAGAATAGAAGGACAAGTTTCTTCAGCACAATGAAAGAAAAAAGGAGACTTCTGGCCAAGATGGAGGCATAGGTAGACACAGTGTGCCTCCTTGTACAATGGAAAGAAGGATAACAACAAATTTAAAAACAAACAACAACCAGAACTGCCAGAAAATTGAACTTTATGGAAGTCTGACAACCAAGGAGTTAAAGAAGAAACATTCATCCAGACCGGCAGGAGGGACTGAGATGGGCAGCTAGAGGACCAGGGCCAGTAGACCAGGCAAGGCAGTGAATTGCAGACTGGGTGGTCCCACATTCGAGTGCAGATAAACCGGGAGGAACAACTGGGGAGCGAGAGAGACCTTGAAATCCAGAGTCCAGAGCAGGAAAATAAAGTCTCAAACCTTACTGAAAACGCCTGTGGGGTTTAGGCGGCAGTTGGAGAAACTCCCAGCCTCATGGGAGAGTTTTTTGGAGAGACAACAGGGTCCTAGAACATACACAAGCCCACCCACCCAGGGAATCAGCACCAGAAGGGCCCAATTTGATTGTGGGTAGCAGGAGAAGTGACTGAAAACTGACAGAGAGCAGAGCAAATGGCATGGTTCCCTCTCGGACCCCTCCCCCACCTACAGCGTCATACACAGTGACATGTTATCCCGCCCTAGTTAACACCCAAGGCTCCACCCCATACTATGTAACAGGCACACAGAAACCAAATAATAATAATAATAATAATAATGGCCCCAATGAAAGAACAGATCAAATCTCCAGAAAAAATACAAGTAAACGATGAAGAGATAGCCAACCTATCACACACAGAGTTCAAAACATTGGTTATCAGGATGTTCACAGAATTGGTTTAGATAAAAAAATGAAGGCTATGCTAAGTGAAATAAAGGGAAAATGCACAGGGAACCAACAACGGTGATGGGAAGGAAACCAGGACTCAAATCAATGATTTAGAGCAGAAGGAAGAAAGAAATACTCAACCAGAACAGAATGAAGAAAGAAGAATTCAAAACAATGAAGAGAGGCTTAGGAACCTCCAGGACATCTTTAGATGTTCCAACATCTGAATTATAGGGGTACCAGATGGAGAAGAGGAAGAGCAACAAGTGGAAAAGGTATTTGAACAAATAATGAAGGAGAACTTCCCCAATCTGGCAAAGGAAATAGACTTCCAGGAAGTTCAGGAAGCTCAGAGAGTCCCAAAGAAGTTGGACCCAAGGAAGAACACACCAAGGCACATCATAATTACATTATCCAAGATTAAAGCTAAGGAAAGAATCTTAGAAGCAGCAAGAGAAACGGAGACAGTTTCTACAAAGGAGTTCCCATAAGACTGTCAGCTGATCCCTCAAAAGAAACCTTGCAAGCAACAAGGGCTGGAAAAAATTATTCCAAATCATGAAAGGCAGGGACCTACATCCAAGATTGCTCTATCCAGCAGAGCTTTCATTTAGAATGGAAGGGCAGATAAAGTGCTACCCAGATAAGGTCAAATTAAAGGAGTTCATCATCACCAAGCCCTTATTATATGAAATGTTAAAGGGACTTACTTACCTAAGAAAAAGAAGATAAAAAATAAGTACAGTAAAATGACAGCAAACTCACAATTATTAACAACCACACCTAAAACAAAAACAAAAGCAAACTGAGCAAACAACTAGAACAGGAACAGACCCACAGAAATGGAGATCACATGGAAGGTCAGCAACAGGGGAGCGGGAGGAGGAAGGAGCGGAAGGTACAGAGAATAAGTAGCATAGACAATAGGTAGAAAATAGACAGGGGGAGGGTAAGAATAGTATGGGAAATGTAGAAGCCAAAGAACTTATAAGTATGACCCATGGGCATGAACTAAAGGGGGGGAATGTGGGTGGGAGGGGATGTGCAGGGTGGAGGGGAATAGAGAGGGGAAATGGGACAACTGTAATAGCATAATCAATAAAATATATTAAAAAAAGAAAGAAAGAAAAAAGCCCCAGTTCCAGTCAAGATGGTGGTATAGGTAAATGTGGTATTTGAACTCTCCCACAACCACATCAAAATTACAATAAACTACATGACAACTGTCATTCAGAACCACCTGAAATCTGGCTAAAAAGAAGTCCTACAGTTACGAATATAAAGAAGTCACAGCTCTGGCTGGGTAGTTCAGTTGGTTACAGCTTTGTCCCAAAATGCTAGGTTACAGGTTTGATCCCCACTCAGGGCACATACAGTATCAGTCAATGAATGCATAAATAAGTGGGACAACAAATCAATGTCTCTCTGTTTCTCACCTCACTTCTCTCCCTAGGATCAATAAATTAAAAAGAAGCAGCAGCAGCAGCAGCCACATTAGGACTGGTAGGAGGGGTGGAGACCCAGAACAGGCTGCTCCCATACCCAGGTGTGGTAGATAAAATTCAGGAGTGATATCCTGGCAGCACAGGTACCCCTGAGGAGCAAGGGGTCCCAGCCCCACACGAAGACCCCTAGCCCAGGGTTCCAGTGCCAGGAAGAGAAGTCCCCGTAACTTCTGGCTACAGAAACCAATGGGGATTGTAGCTAAGGGAAATGGAGGGCTTCTGGAGTCCCAGGCATTCCCCTTTAAGGGCCCAGGCACACACTTCCTCAGACTTACTTGCTCTGAGCTCCAGTACCGGAGCAGTACCTCAGGGACATATGGGGAGAAACTGAGTTGTATGGCATCAAGGCAGGAGGTAGAGGAGCAGCTTTCTCCCAGAGAGAAGCCATTGTTCCTTTTCTGAGCCCTCCCTCTACAGAGCTGGCAAGAAGGCTCCATATCTCAGTCAACCTGGCTAAAGCTGTTTACCCACCCTGGTCATTCCCTGAGACTCCACCCCACCCAATTGGCAGGCCCACCCAAGCCATTTCCACTGGCTTTTTACACAAACAGCTTGTTTTGACTCTGACTTCAGACTTTCCTAAAATCTCTCAAACAAGCAACATCTGGCCTCTGCATGCCTGTACCTCTCATTAAGTGGCCCCAGGCCCAGCATTAGCAGCAGCCAGCCTCGGTTTGCAGCCAGGCCTCTGCTGGACACCTCCAAGCCCAGCACAAGTAGCAGCCATCTGCAGATGGCTTTGTAGCTCATGCCAGGTGGGCTGACCTTGCCCTGCACCTCCCAGGAAGGCCCAGAGCCAGTGCACCTGGTGCACAGCTTCAGACCATGTTGAAGCACCACTCAACCACCTCTACAAGGGGTGGGCTCAGTGGGCACCAGAGCCCAGTTGATATAAGTCCTGCTTCATGGGGTCAGTCTCTACACAGCTGATCCTCACAGTGGCCACAGCCAATTGGCCTGAAGGTAAATCCCTCCTACTGAGGCACAAACAGCAATCAAGGCTCAACTCCAACAGGAAGGTGTACACAGCCTACACAGGGGGGCACACCTAGAGTGTCCAGCTTAGGTGACTGGGGAGGCTGTACCACTGGACACTACAAGACATCTACTACATAAAGCCTGGGAGATGTGGCAACACTATCTAATACAGAGAAACAAATTAAAGAGGCTGCCAAAATAAGGAGGCAAAAAAAAAAAAAGTTCCCAAATGAAAGAATCTGTTCTTTCAAAACTCCAAAAAAAGAAGTAAACAAAATGGAGACAAGCACTCTATCAGATACAGAGTTCAAAAACAGTGGTTATGAGGATGCTCAGTGAACTTAGGAGAAGAATAGATAAATTTAGTGAGAGATTCAACGAAGAGCTAGGAAACATAAAAATGGCGACAGAAAACCTAAAAAAAGAACCAGTTTGAAATGAAGAATACATTACAGAGAATCAACAGTAGAGTAGATGAAGCAGGGTATCAAATCAGAGATTGGGAAAATTAAAAAACAAAAAAACGGAAAGCAGCCTATCACAACAGCAAAAAGAAAAAAGAATTTTTAAGAATGAGGGTAATGTAAGAAGTATCTGGGATAACTTCAAGTGTACCAACATTCATATCATGGCAGAGCCAGAAGAGAGAAAACCTATGTGGAAAAAATAAGGACAGAGCCCTGGCCAGTATGGCTCAGGTGATTAGGCATCATCCTACAAACCAACAGGTCACAGGTTCGATTTCCAGTCAGGGCACACACCTGGGTTGTGGGTTCAGTCCCTGGTCAGGGTGTGTGCAAGAGGCAACCAATCAATGTTTCTCTCTCACATCAATGTTTCTCTCCCTCCCTTACCCTCTCTCTAGATCAATTAAAAAAAAAAAAGAAATAATAATGATAGAAATTTTCCATGCCTGGTGAAGGAAATAGACACAGAAGTCCAGGAAGCATAGAGAGTCCCAGACAAGATGAACCCAAAGAGGCCCACACCAAGACACATCATAATTAAAATGCTAAAAGTTAAAGACATATAAACAATCTTTAAAGCAGCAAGAAAAAAGCAGTTAGTTATCTATAAGGGAGCTTCCATAAGACAGTCAGTTGATTTCTCAACAAAAACTTTGCAGTCCAGAAGGGACTGGCAAGAAATATTCAAAGTCATGAAAAGCAAGGACCTACAACAATTTAGTAATCTTACTCTACCCAGCAAAGGTACCATTTAGAATCAAAGGACAGATAAAGAACTTCCCTGACTAGAGAAAACTAAAGGAGTTCATCACCACCGAACCAGTATTACAAGAAATGTTAATGGGTCTTCTTTAAGAATAAAGGATAAAAAATATGAATAAAGTAGCAATAAATACATAGCTATCAATAATTACTCCAGGTGCAAATAATTAAATTTGCAATTAATATGCATAAAACCCAATCAAAAGACATATGTTGGCTGAATGGATACATATGCTATCTACAA